CTATGGGGAGGAAGTGGGAAAGGAGCTGTTGCATTGTAGTAAACTGTGGTCAATGTCATGAGACAAAGTATATGTGAACCACTGTATGGAAAGTGAATTTGCTCTATAAACCTTCACCCAAATCCACACTCCCTCCAGCAAAAAATAAAATAAAAAATAAATAAGAGTCCACGGGTAATGTGTTGAATGATGCAGGAAAAATCAAAAGAAGATGGACGGAGTATACAGACTCACTATACCAAAAAGCATTGGTAGATGATCATCTATTTCAGGACGTGGCATATGATCAAGAACCAAAGGTACTGAAGGAAGAAGTCGAAGCAGCACTGAAGGAATTGGTGAAAAACAAGGCTCCAGGAATTGACAGAACACCCACTGAGATATTTCAACAAATGGATGCTATGCTGGAGGCACTGACTTGGCTATGCCAAGAGATTTGGAAGACAGTTACCTGGCCCACTGACTGAAAGTGATCTATATTTGTACCCATTCCAAAGAAAGGTCATCCCACAGAATGTAGAAATTATTAAACAATGTCATTGATATCACACACAAGTAAAATCTTACTGAAAATAATTCAAAAATGGTTGCATCAGTATATTGACAGAGAACTTCCAGAAATGCAAGCTGGATTCAAAAGGGTATGTGGAATGAGAGATATCATAGTTGATGTCAGATGGATCTTGGCTGAAAGCAAAGAATACCAGAAACATGTTGACTTGTGTTTTATAAACTATGCAAAGGCATTCACTTGTATGAATCATAACAAATTGTGAATAACATTGAGAAGAATGGGAATTCCAAAACACTTAATTATACTCATGAGGAAAATGTACATAGACCAGGAGGCTTTCATTCGAACAGAACATGGGGATACTGCAAGTTTTAAAATCAGGAAAGGAGTGCATTAGGGTTATATCCTTTCACCATACTTATTCAATGTGTATGCTGAACAAATAATCCGAGAATCTGGACAATATGAAGAAAGACATGGCATCAGGATTGGAGGAAACCTCATTAACAAGCTGAGATACACAGATGACACAACTTTGCTTGCCGAAAGTGAGGATGACTTAGAGCACTTACTGATGAAGGTTAAGGACTACAGTCTGCAGTATGGATTACACCTCAATATAAAGAAAAAAAAAAAGTCCTCACAACTGGACTAATACGCAGCATTATGATGGATGGAGAAAAGATTGAAACTGTCAAAGACTTCATATTACTTGGTTCTACAATCAACACTAATGGAAGCAGCAGTCAAGACATCAAAAGATATATTGCATTGGACAAATCTGCTACAAAAGACCTCTTTCAAGTGGTGAAAAGGAAAGACATCTCCTTGAAGACTAAGATACTCCTAAACCAAGCCATGGTATTTTTGATCACCTTATATGCATGTGAGAGCTGGACAATGAATAAGGAAGGCTGAAGAAGATTTGATGCTTTTGAGTTATGGTTTTGGATAAAAATGCTGAAAGTACCATGGACTACCAGAAGAACTAACAAATCTGTCCTGGAAAAAATGCAGCTGGAACGTTCCTTGGAAATCAGAATGTCCAGACTTGGTCTCACCACTTTGGTCATGTTGTAGAAGGGACCATTCTCTGGAGAAGGATGTCATGCTTGGTAAAGTGGAGGGTCGATGAAAGAGTGGAAGGCCCTCAACAAGATGGATTGACACAGTGGCTGCAGTGATGGTCTCAGGTTCAGTAGGGATCGTGAGGCTGGCATCGAACTGGGCAGTGTTTTGTTCTGTTGTACATAGGGTAGCTATGAGTCAGAGATGACTTGAAGGCACATAACAACAACAACAAAAGTAACCAAGAACTACCCAAAGTTTTTCCTAGTGAAAAGAGTGTTACATGGCTAACTCCAGCACTAAGCCACCATTTCTTAATGGTTTATATTTGACTCATATAATTCTGACTTGGCAAGTTATTTTGCTTTTAGGAATACCCATTTAATGTATCAATATTTATTGGGTACGTACCTTGAGGTAGCATTACTTGGTTATAGGTATACATATTTTCATCTTTAATAGCTATTAGCAAACATTTTTCCAAAAGAAAAGGAAAAGTTTGTAATTCACTTTTAAAAATAGTCTTTTCTGCTGAAACTGAACATACTAAATCACTGTGACAAAGTAAATTACTGTCTGGGTATTCAGCCAAATGTACACAAGAAGATGTATAAAAGGATACTTTTAAAAACATTATTCAAATTAGCTGAAAGTATAAAGAAAAGGAGCTCTGGTAGCATAGTGGCAAAGACACTTGCCTGCTAACCAGACGGCTGGCGGTTCAAACCCACCAGCCACTCCTCGGAAGGAAGGTTGGGCAATCCTACTTCCGTAGTGATACTGCCTTGGAAACCCAAGGAGGGGTCGCTATGAGTCGGGGCCGACTCGACGGCACATAACAACAACAACAACATAAAGAAAACAGGTAAATCAACAGTAAGATGGATAAATAAGCAGTATTTATGCAATTGAATACTATATGAAAATGCTGCACAAAACGTAGGTGGAACTCACAGAATATTAAATGAACCAAGTTGGACAGAGGACTATATGTTGAATGATTCCATTCACATGACGCTCGGAAGCCCGCGAACTAACACGATGCAAGGGAGATAAGTGGTCACTTTGGGAGACAGTGGTTAGGTTGTTGATTTTGGACGGTGGTTAGACTGAGCACTTAACTGGTGTGAACTTTATGCAGGTTATATTTCAATAAAATATGTTAGAAGTAATATGTCATTTTCCACATTTGGAGTAAGCAAAGTGGATGATAGGAGGAAGAATGGGGAAGGATTTCATTCATTTACTTCATAATGTGTCATTTATTTTCAACTGAGTCTTTCTACATGAAGAACTTGCCAGATCAGCCCCCAAATCCTCTGAGGTTCACAAACTTCTTGCCTGAGTCTCCTCCCGCTTGGAGGCGGGAAAGGAAAGATGAATCCAGGGACACAGTGTGAGAGGGAGGACTCCGACCCTCTCCAGTTCCACACAATACACCAAGAACAGCAGAAACAAGGGGGAAGCTGCGGGACGAGGCACGTACCAGGACCCACCCCAGCGCAGTGTCCCGTGTTGCCGCTGCTGAACGCTGGACAGCGCCAGGATGACTTCCGCTCCTCCGGCACTACAGTCCTGCAGGCATTTTTCCTCATCGCAAAGGAAAGATCATTGTTAACTAACATATTGTTCTCTGGTATCAACGAGAACAGACGTTGCAGACAGGAATAAAGACGCAACCGCTCTTTTTATTTTCCTTTTTTTGCAAACTCGTAGTCCACAGGCCCAGGGCGCCCGTGGCAGAGCTGAAGCAAGTGAGCACTTGGAGGAACTTCTCATCAAGCCCTGTCCTCTTCGGAAGGTGGCGGCGTGACGCGTTTCTCCTGGCAGTAAACTTGCCGAGACCACAGAGAAACAGACCAAGCCCAAGTGGTGCGCCGTGCACTTTTCAGGGCACCTCAGCGCATGAAAACTCTCGGGGACTCTCCTGGAACGGACACCATGCCTCCCAAGTCTCTTGCCAACGTCTCCCTGACCGCGGGCGCCAATAGCACCGGTCTCTTTCTGGGGATGTCCGAAAGGGATCTCCCGCTGGCCTCGGACGGGACCGCCGCGGACTTGGTGATCCGCTTCGTGATTCCGTGCCTCTACCTGCTCATCATCGCGGTGGGTTTGCTGGGCAACATCGTGCTGGTGAAAGTCTTCGTCACCGACAGCTCCCTGAGGAGCGTCCCCAACATCTTCATCTCTAACCTGGCCGCAGGGGATGTACTGCTGCTGCTCACCTGCGTCCCCGTGGACGCCTCGCGCTACTTCTTTGACGAGTGGGTCTTTGGGAAGGTGGGCTGCAAACTGATCCCAGTCATCCAGCTCACCTCCGTGGGGGTTTCTGTGTTCACTCTCACGGCCCTCAGCGCCGACAGGTAACGACACAGAATAGAGGTGGAGAAGGAAGGGAGGGGGAGAATGTATCTGGACCGGAGGAATGGGAGAAGGCAGCAAGAAGGGAAAGGGAGTGCCCAGGAATTAGGGTAAAATGGTTACAACAGACTAGAAGGTGAAGCCTGAAGAAATGATGGCAAGAAAAGCATTTAAAAAAATGGCTTTAGTTTGAAAGCTTTAAAAAGGCATATCCTAGTGTCTTGCTCTTCTCCTGATCCTACGTGGGGAATCTTTATGAGCATCTTTGCTTTTTTAACATAAAAAAGTTATAGAACAAAAGTGTAACTGCAACTATCATGTAGAAGCTTTGTGTGTGTGCGTGTGCCTAAAGTCTTAGCTCTGGTGGTGTAGTGCCTGAGGCACTTGACTGCTAACCAGAAGGCTGGCGGTTCAAACCCGCCAGCCACTCCTCGGAAGGAAGATGGGACAATCTACTTCCATAGTGATACAGCCTCAGCAACCCAAGTAGGGGTCGTTAAGAATCGGGTTCGACCCCATGGCACATAACAACAACAACAACAACAGAGTCTTAGAAGTGTGCTTTCCTTATTCAGTAATTATTAATAGGTAAGAATGCCTACGTTAATGTTAGGAAAATGTTTTCTTTTGAGGTTTTTCTTTTCCCCCAATAAAGTAAAATCTCACATTTATTAATTAAATCTACTATTGCTTGAAAGAAACACATTTAGCCTAATAAATTTTCTTCAGACAGATGACTTCACACATTCTTCTTGCTTAGTACTGAAGGTCAAATGATATGTTTTATTTTCACAAATAGGTAGGTACAAATATTAATATCTTAAAAGAATGTTGTAAAGATATCATTATCGTTGATAGTAAATCTGCTTTTCACAGACTTTAATGTCCCTGATTCTACCTTGCAGGTCAACTTGTTCAAGTGTGTCATTTCCAGGTGAAGACATTGAAGCCCAGGGAATGTAGCCTTCCTGGCTGAGCTGGGAGAAGAACATAAGCCCCTTGATTCTTGGGCCAGTGCCACTACCCCAAGCAATAATCATACTCTGAGACATTTAAGCAGGAGAAAATATCTGAGCGTGGGTGGTGGTGGTGGTGCAAAATGTAGAATTAGGCACCGCTGCATGGAGCTTTGGTCTTGAGAGAGATTGACTTAACACTACAGAAAAACAATGTAACTTGTATAATTGAGATGGTGATTACTCTCCTCCTCTTTAATTTCCAAACCTAATTATCAATGAAAAATGAGTCTGCATCTGAATTTCCTGATATATGCGATAATATCCTCACATTAGTTTGGCACTGAAGAGAACCTTTACTGAAAGAAAGAGACTATTCAATGGAGAGTTGAGAGCTATTAAAAAAAATTAGCTTTTTTTTTTTTTTTTTAATTGTGATTCAGGTGCAAATTTCCACAGCAATTTAGCTTTCCATTCCACAATTCATACACATTTTCTTCCATGGCACTGATTGTGATTCCCGCAATGTAACAGCACTCATTCCACTTCTTGCCTGTTGCCATTTGTCCTTCTCATCCTTTCCTGCCTTCTGAACCTTGTGTGAGAGTGATTATTAGCTTTTTAAACTGAACACTATTAACATTTAAATGTGTGCAATATGCTCTGTAAAACCCCATTCCTGTAAATTTGGGTGCCTTTGTGTTATGAACCTCATTTTATTTACATGACACCGTTTCTCTTACTTTATACAAAAGTTTTATTTGAATTTCTTAATTAAAATGTGACTTTTTAGTTTAGATACGCTTTTTATGGCTCCTTTTAAAAGAAAGTTAAAATACCTCTAATTAATGGTTAGGATCAAGCTTAATTGATTCCACTACAATAGTTACAATTACTGTCATTATGCTTTCAATTTAAAAAAATGTGTTTGCAGAAAGACTCAGAGCTTGAGTTCATTTCATACCATTTTCTCAATCTATTATTGTGGAGGGACACTGGTAGAAACGTCCTGACCAAGGTCAGAGACAATGCTCATCCTCATATCATTACTGAATTTCTTCATTTCATATATATATATGATGTGCTTAGTGAATGCAGCATGGATATTTACATAATTAATAATGATAAAGGTGGGTTCTGTTTCCTCTTGGTCCATCTGGCTACCTTTGTCTTATTAGTGTGTGTTTTGGGAATATAAATGGATAAATCTGAATCACTGGTGACTGAATTACATGAGGCATTCAAATGTTCCCTTGGAATGATGTGAAAATGGTTTGTTATATTCTCTACAGTTCTGTTTTTCTTCTAGAACATGATAATCATGTGTTGATTTGTATTTGATCTCCTAATATTTTATCTTACCAAATGTTTTTATTCCTTGTAGATTTGAAAACAATTATAAAGTGAATTTAGCACCGAGATCAGATTTTTGTGTGAGTTTACAATCCTCACAATAAAAGAAATCTGAGGCTTAAAACTGAGCAACATTTGCATGATCTTACAGCTAGTAAGTAATAGAGCTAGGATTTCAGTCTTTTCTTTTTACCATTAAGCCAGATTATTACTTTCCCAGGAATAGGAAATTACTAATGGTCTTTCATAATTAAAAGCAGAGTAAAAAATTAAATTAAAAATAAAGCACCTAAGAGTGATAAACGGGAACGGGGGGGGGGGCATGCAAAGCATATTTATTACTGTGAAAGAGCATCATAAAATGTAACTGTAAAACAAAAGAAGTATCTTGAATTAAAAATGAAGCAGACTTAGCAACAGGAAATTCCAAAAACAAAACCAAACCTATTATTAAGTAAAACGGACAGAGGTTTTAAAAAGCAAATTAGTTGTTTACACAAATACCTTATCTTCACAAGATGTCCTAACAGGTGTGACTTTGCCTAAGGAAATAGCAAAGGAGGAAAATGAACTGGAAGAGACTTAAATTTCGAAAAAGTACACCCCAATATGAGGAGCTCTGGTAGCATAGTGCCTAAGGCACTTGACTGCTAACCAGAAGGCTGGAGGTTCAAACCCACCAGCCACTCCTCAGAAGGAAGGTTGGGCAATCTACTTCCGAAGTGATACTGCCTCGGAAACCCAAGGAGGGGTCGCTATGAGTCGGGGCAACTCGAAGGCACATAGCAACGACAACAACAACGTGAAGGGGATACTTGAGCATCATTGATCACACAACACTAGATAGTAAAGACTGAAATAAGAAAAACAGTGATTGTGACTCTACCTTGAGGCCTTAATTACCTTGCTTTCTGCAGCCAAAAGGTGATGTGAGTGACACTTTATGGTACTTGTGATAATTTATTCCTGACTTTTCAAGTCAGAACTTTCAATTGATACATCCTTAGATCATTGTGTCTACTCTAGGTTGACAATGTTGGCCTTGGAGGTGTATTTTAATCAATATGGGGAGGAAGGATAGTGTCTGATCCAAAATGATGATAGTGATACTCTTAGTTTTTTGATTTGCTATTATAGGTTTGTGAATTTTTTTTTACTAGTGCAAATTAAATAGCTGATATAAAGTATTTCCATATTGTCTGTTGTATCATGTTTTATATCAAGTTTTATATAAACACACACATTCTCACCTCTCACCATGGTATTGGGACATAACGCTGTGACATGGGGTAGGCGGAACCCTATCATCCATAATTTGCTTATGTGTGGAGCTGTCTTCCTCACTACTTATTCAAGCGGCTGCATTTCCAAACTGAGAATGCTATATTTTGGTTCTTGAAGATCTTCTGGTTTCTAAAGGCCCATTACTAAAATGCAATAACTTTTAAAAACTGAGCTCCCTTTTTCCTTTATAGAAAAAATTCTCTCAGAGTAGGTTAAAAATTATAAACTTTATAATTTTAAGGAGTCACAAATATTAAGTTAAATATCCTCTCTTTATTTTTGTTTCTTATATAACTGCTGACTAAAATACATTTATAAGTTAAGTTAGAAAGCAAACTATAAAAACAATAGAAATGAAATTCATATTAATAGGCAATGTATAATTTAACGCAAAAATAAAATTGCATCAAATCTATGTAAAGTGAAATGTAGTAATAATTTCAAGTTTTTCTTTGTTAATTAGGATAATTGGGAGCTCTGGTAGCATAGTGCCTAAGGCACTTGACTGTAAACCAGAAGGCTGGTGGTTCTCGGAAGGAAGATGGGGCAATCTACTTCCATAGTGACACTGCTTCGGAAACCCAAGGAGGGGTCGCTATGAGTCAGGTCTGACTCCACGGCATATAACAACAACAACAACAATTAGGATAATCGGAATTAATTCCAAAACTGAAGAGTAGGCAGAGCCTTGAATGATTAACGTTAATTGGAAATGCAAAAAGATAGTCTCTTCAGTATAAGTCTATGTTAAAATATAGGAACTGATTGGATACAGGCCCAAAGCCCAACATTTCTAGGGCTAATAGGGCTTATCAGCAACCTGTAAACAGCAGCGAGAGCAAGGGCCACTACCTGATTGTGTGACTGTGGTTCTAAACAACCCCCCTCCCCCCACTGAAGCTCAGGTCCTGGTTAATTAGTTGCCCTGATGAGAGATGCTTACTTCTTTGTCCATAGCCCTGGACAATATGTTGAGAAGCTCTTGCCCCTCAGTTGGTGGTGAGATTGGTTTTCAGTGAGTTCTTCCTAAAGTCTTGAGGACATTCAAACTGCCCATCTATCCTGAGAGAACCTATGTGACCAGGGTGATGATTTATTTATATTGAATGTGCTGCAAAACAATTTAAGTCAGGTTGAAAATAAAGGTACAGACAGCAGACAACAGAACCAGCAAGGGGGAAAACAAAAGTCATACTTCACAGAATGTGAGTGATAAATTTGCCAGTGAGTTTTACAGCTGCCAATAAAAAAGGAAATTTTGTTTTCCATACCAGTTGCTTAGTTGTTATTTCTATATAACCCTGGAAACAGAATGAATTGTAATTTTTTCCTTAATTTATCAGTCATTTACTAGAGTGGAGAGTAAACTTCCTTGGTTTATTGTTGTTGTTGTTGCTATGTGCCAGTGG